CCTTTTTAGATTGCACATATAAATGGCATCATATAGTTTTTATTTACTTATATTTTGCTTAGCATAATGTCCTCAAGGCCCATGTTGTTGCAAGTGGCAGGATCGCCTCCTTTCTTACAGATGAATAATATATCATTGTGTATATATGTAAACTTCTGCATGGAGAGATAAGGGGATGCTTATAGACTGTGGGTGGGAATGTAAATTGGTATAGCCACTAGGGAAAGAATATGGATATCTCTCAAAAAAATTAAAAAGAGACCTACTAAAAAAAAAAAAAGTAGACCTACCATATGATCCAGCAATTCCACTTGTGGATATACACTCAAAGGAAACGAACACAGAATGTGTTAGAGATGTCTGCACCTTCGTGTTTATTGCCCCATTATTCACAGTAGCCAGGACATGGAAATGACCCAAGAGCCTGTCAATGGTTGAACAGATAAGGAAGCTGTGGAATGTGTATACGCCAGGGATCTTGTTAAATGCAAATTCTGATTCATTAATTTCCTCTGGGAGCTGAGACTCTGTATTTCTAACAAGCTCCCAGGTGGCACAGATCTTGAATTATACGTTGCAAACAAGAGACTAACTGGGATCCGAGTTCCCTTCAAGCTCAGGGATTCTACATCCCTGTTCGTTCTTTATTTTCCGAGCAGTTTTCTGTGATGGTGCCTGCACTCCTGAGCACATCGGCTCTAGCTGAAGAGAAGGACGTTGTGAAGACCTGCCATTCTGGATCTCTGCAGCGCACTGCGGAGTTTGATGTTAATATTTATGGCAGCCTCCCCCGCCAACCTGGTTACTTGCAGATCTGTGTGTGTGCATGGAAACACACACACACACAGTTACACACATACACATGAGCCCCGAGGCATGTGGATTTACCGAAAAGAAAAAGAAAAGAAAAATAGTAGTCAGTGACGTCCAGTTTGGTTCGAGACTGTGTCCCCTACTTAGGATGTCAGGACACCTCTGGAGCAGGACCAGCCATGAGGACATGCAACTCCTCCCCACAGGAAATGATAAGGAACTCGAAGACCCTCCTAGTCTCCCTCCACCCCTTCTCTGCCTCTGCAATTGGCAGCATCTAAAATCCAACCTAGCCTCATTTTAACAGGTCTTAATAGCTTTGGGGACCCTAAGGAGCTTCTGTTAAAATGAAAATGTCTCAGCAAGAAAAAATTCTGTAATATTTGCCGGAGCTCACTTTATTGGATTCTTCTCCTGGAAGTCCAGAGGGCCCTTGCTTTTACAGATGGGGAGGCTGAGACCAAGAGAGGGAAGACCAGCCACACAGTGAATCCATCACTGAACCCAGATTTCCAGCGAGGCCGTGGTTCTGATTCTCGGGGTCAGGCAGCCAGCCTTGGCTCATACTTTGAAAATCATCACAAAGTGGCTCTGAGCCATGCAGAGGTGGATTCAAATCTGGACATTTTAAAAAGAAATGCTTATTGAGAGTCAACCGTGTAGCAGGCATTGAGAATATAACTGTGGCAAGTCAGATACAGTCCTTACAGTATAGTGAGAATTAGTGGTTTGTTAATAATTAGTGTCGAATTTGATTACTGTTTGTCAGATCCCATAATACAGATTTCACATAGATGTGATTCTCATAACAACTCTATGAGGTAGTTACTATTATTTGCTGTTGTTCAGTTGCTCAGTCATGTCTGACTCTTTGTGACCCTGTGGACTGCAGCGCGCCAGGTTTCCCCGTCCATCACTATCTCCCATTATTACTATGATCCTCATTTTACAGATGAGAAGGTTGAAGGACAGGGATTTAATTGCTCAAAGTCACACATCTGATTAATAGCGGAGCAGGACTTGAACCCATGGTGTCTGGGACCACGGCCCCTGCTCTTAATCACCACGTCACGAACTTATCCCCAGTACCACTCACTCTTCCCAACAACCTCATGCCAAAGAGGAGGGCAAGGTCTTATCTCTACTTTTCAGAGGAGGAAATAGAGGATCAGAGAGATTAAGTACCATTTGGAAAGTTGTGCAGCTCAGGATGGCTCGGGTTGACACCTCCTCTTCTCTTGGGTACCCCTCCTTCATATTTGAGTCAGAATTGCCAGAAGGAACCCCAAGAGGGCAATGATTAACCAGAAGTGAAGCTGCTCTGATGATGAGGTTTCAGGCAGTCCAGAGCGAGCAATTCTTTTTTTTTTTTTTCTCTTCCAACACCTTTGTTGACATGCATCTCACACACCGTAACATTCACCCATTTCAAGGGTAAGTTGAGTGGTTTTTAGCGTATTCACAGGGTTGTGCAAACATCACCACAATCTAATTTTAGAAGATTTTCAGCATCCCCAAAGAAACCCCGTACCCATTAGCCACCACTTGGAGTGAGCAGTGCTCAGCCTGAAGGGAGAAGCCGCTCCAGGAGTGGTTTTGCTGGCAGCGTGGCAGATAATTGGGAGTGTCCTGGGGGATGCTCTTCACACCAGACCTCCAAACGACTGCCTATTTCTCAGCCATTAGCGAGAGTTCCCCAGGGCACACGGAGTTCCACTCACCAGTCTTTAGATACAAGAGATAATTGCACGTATTTCTATAGATAGTGGGGACAGGGGCTGCCTGAATGTCTTGGAAAGCAGACAGTAGGAATGGGAGTGGGCTGACCATCTCCAAAGAGAGTAATAGGAGAGGAAGTGGTGGTTTTGGGGAGGGAAAGGGAAGGCTGGGTTATGTCCCCTACTTAGTAGCTGTGCTCCCACCCCAGGCAGAGGGGTCTTTAAAAAAATGTGATTTGGAGTGTGTCCTTCTCTTGCTCGAAACTCTCCAATAGCTTCCCTTACTTTTTGGAACAAAATTCAGAGCCCTTAACAGTCTTAAAAGCCTCCCGGCCTCATCCCATGCTGTGCTCCCATTCATCCTCTCCTTCCAACCTAACACGCTGCTTTTTTTCTGTTCTTATTCAGTGCTTCCATTAAGTGTAAATAGAAAAAGGTACACCTTCTTGGGAGATGAATTAGAGAAAGGATTTTGTTCCTTCAGCCTGGTGTCTTTTTACAGTGCACGACCCAGGCCACCGAGCCTGGCAGTCCTGCCTTTAATACGCCATGCCCAAAACAGACAAGATTTGGACACCTGGGAGGAGTGGAAAGAGCCTGGGCTCTGATGGCAGAAAGGGCAGGAATCCCAGCTCTGCCACTTGCCAGATGTGTAATCTGGGGAGTGACTCAATCGAAAAGGATTGAATAGGTCCCACTCTGGGGGATGGAAAGTGCTGTGAGGATTAAATGAAATCATTAGTGTGCTGTGCTTGATCAATATCCCTCCCTTCCGCTGTGTGGCCCCAGAGTGTCTACCTCTATTAACGGAGAATCAATGCTGTTAGCAGAAGCATGTACATTTTTCTTTTTAAATTAAAAAAAAAAAAACTTTTGCTTTTTTTCCCGCTACAAATGCTTCTCTCTGTTTCTACTATAATCAACCTGGAAGAAGTCTGCATGACAACAGTCTACTGATTTGTTCCCACCCCCTTCTACTCTTGCCTCTCCAACGCTTTCAGAAGCCACAACGTTATAACTAAATCTGGTCATGTCAGATGCCTGTTTCAAACTCTTCCTCATCCTTCTGGTCTCAAACGGAAAGTCAGCAGCTAAGGAGGACCGCTCTATCACTTTCAAGTACAGTGCTGTTAGAATCCATCTAATGGCCTGAGACAGCCATACCTGGTGTCCCATGGCAGAAGATGGCCCATGGGCCCCAAGAAATTCACCAAGAATCCAAGGACGGTCTGGGCTGGTGATCTTCCTTTCACACCAGCCTGGAAAGTCATACATGCTTGCTAAGTCGCTTCAGTCGTGTCTGACTCTTTGCGACCCCATGGACTGTAGTCCGCCAGGCTCTTCTGACCATGGGATTCTCCAGGCGATAATACTGCAGTGGGTCGCCATGCCCTCCTCCCGGGGATCTCCCCCACCCAGGATGTCTCCCGCATTGGCTGGCGGGTTCTCTACCACTAGCACCACCTAGGAATCCCCATCTGGAGAGTCATGGGGAAATGTTAATTGCAGCTGAGGATGTGACTGACTAAAAACTCCAATGGCTTCTGTCTCCTAGCCTAGTGTTCTGCTTTAGGCGCAATGGCTGGGCAGAAAGCAGGGACCAAGGAGGCCATCAAGGCTGGAGCCCAAGTATGGGACAGAGAGAACAGGCTGTGTGGGCTAGCTGCTCAACAGCGTCACCATGTGGTGGTGAGAAGAGCAGCGGTCGCAGTAAATACACAGGAAGACGATGGGCTGTGGGGAACTCACTGCTCAACAGCGACACCATCTGGCAGTGGTAGGAACAACATCCCAATGAACAGATCTACTCTACGGACCGCCGCCTGACATTAGGAACCAAGACGCAGTCCCTTTGGACTAAGTAAACCCCAATTATTCTTGGGCAGTGTGGAATAAGGGGTGTCCTCAAAAAGGGACAGTGGGACTTCCTGCTCAGGAAAGCATGTAGGAACTCAAGAGGTTAATCAGAGAACTAAAAAGAGGTGATTATATCTTGGCCACACTGGGTACAGGCAATAAACGAATGAATGGACATAAAACAAGAAGAAACAACATGATCACCAGAATTCCAAAGGAAAAACAAAAAGATTTTTTTTTGTTTTTGTTTTTTAATGTTGTGTGAAGCACAAAGAGAAATATTGTGATTACCATTGAAAGGCAATTCCTGGAGGAAATGTCCCTGCAGCCTTATCCCTTGAAAGAAACAATTCCTAAAATACACACCACTGTTTTCCAAAGGACCAGGTTTCCATGTGTAGATCATTTCTGAATCTGAGTTCAGAGAAGTTTGCAAGAGTCTCTGAGTCCCGAGCTAGAGAGGGAAGCCTGGAGAGGGGGCAGCCTGGGCCCCAGGGGCATGTCAGGATCGGGTGCCGACAACCCTGCACCTCCTGATTGGCAGCCCCCCGGCGCCCATGGGGTCTTCAGCTGTAGTGGACATCTGCACCGAACAGCAGGAAATCCTGGGGGAGAGATGAGAACGCCGTCATCCGCCGGAAGAGTACCCCTTGTTTGTGAGGGTGGGAATGCAGCGGTTTTTAGAAGAAAACTTTGGGAGCTTGCCTGCTGGGAAACAGAGAACCTTTCTGCTGACAGAAAGGCAGGAGTGAGTGGGGGGCAGGGGGCTGGCATCCTGCCCCTACGGTCTGCACATCAGCGGCTGCCCATGCCCGGGAATCTGTCAGCAGTTTTCCTGGCAGCTGTTTTCCGCTCAGACGTGGAGACCCCCGGGCCGCCGTGAAGGCCTTCATTTGTCATCCCTGCCTCTTGGCAGCTCCAGGGAGCCCTCTTTGCCATCAAGGCTGCAAAACCACTTCTCTCTTGCTCCTTCCTGCCCTTCACTCAAGAATGTTCAGAAAGGAAGGAATTCAATTGTGCCCAGGGGGTCATTTTTTATTTTAAGGATGAACTGGGTTAGATGTGGGGGATGTGTTTCCTCTGCTCACTCAATTAACTTCTCTATTGTCTCTTAGTCTTGGGAGTTCTCCTGTTAGGGCAAAAGAATTGGGGACTGATGGACTGGATGTTGGAGGTGAGGGAGAGCGAGGAATCTGGGTGGGGGTTTCCCATGAGGGTCGTCAGAAAGCCCTGGACCGAGGTAAGGAATGCAAGAGTGGGTGATGGCTTCCTTGTAGAGTTATCAGCTCTTTGGGACATAGTGGGTCTAAGGAGCTTTAGAGTGGAGACACTGAGGTAGCCAGCATGTATCCTTTGGGCACATGAAAGAGACTGGAACCTCGGCCGGGTCACACTGAGGTGACTGTTATGCTTCTGCTGATGAAAGTGACCAGGGAGGAACTTCTTTGGTGGCCCAGTGGCTGAGACTCCATGCTGGTCAGGGAAATAGATCCCACATGTCATAACTAAAGAGTTCATATGCAGCAACTAAAGATCCTGCATACCGCAACTAAGACCCGGTGCAGCCAAATAAACCAATATTAAGAAGAAGAAGAAGAAGAAGACAGTGACCAGGGAAAGCAATTGTGGGGGAAGGGCAGAGGCCGGGGCAGGAATCCTGGAGAACTCTCTCTGGGAGGGGAAGAAGGAACCAGTAAAGGAGACCAAATAACACAGTGAGAGGTGGCTGGAAAACCTGGAGAGGGAATCTTCAAAGCTAAGAGAAGAAAGTGTTCCAAGGATGGGGAAAATAGTGTCAGATGCTGTTGGGGTCAGATCGGAGAAAAGGGAAGAGGAGGCTGTCCATTCCGGTGTCTTAATCTGCCAGACACTGACCGCGGCCCTGGAAGGACGCTGGATGCAAAGGAAGGCCATGCGTCACATATCTGTCAAATATTTAAATGCATCAACCTTATAAAAGAGGCTTGGGGCCACCAAGCGAGTTCCACTTTTACCGAGTGTTGTGTGGGCGTGGTGCAACTCGGGGGTTAAAAACCAGGACCTGGCTTTGACTTTGGACTTCATTTAATGGCGGTGTGTCCCCTCTGAGTCTTACTTTTCTGTTTAGCAACACAGCCCACCCTGCGGGAGTGTTGTAAGGGTCGACAGCGCTTGATCCAGAGCTGGAGGAAGGTGGCTACTGAAGTAGGGGATTTGGCGAAGGAGACCCTGGGGACTCACCTGGTAAGGCTGAAGGACCAGGTTGTAGAGCTCGATGTAGGCGGGCAGCGGGAGAGGGAATCCTTTCTGCAGCTTCCCTGCATTGGCGGTTAAGGCAGAGGTTACGGTGAAGGTACCACCTCTGATGGGAGGGGCCGGGGAGAGAGAGGGCGGGGCCGGGACTCGGGCAGCCAGTCCGCAGCCTCCCTGGAAGAAACCCAGGCAGGAAGTCTGCCCAGAGTCTCCTCTTCTCTCTCATCCACTGACCTCCGGACACTGCGGACACAGGAATTCCCGCCCCCTCAGCCCCAAGACCACCGGCCCGAGGATGCCAGCACTGCTGGTGCACCCCTGGCCCGAGTGACAGCCGGGGCAGCTGCTTGCTGGGGTGTGGAGGCTTGGAGACACGTGACGGATATGCACTTGAAGGCCCTCAATGTTTCCGATGAAACCAGAAATGCGTGGTAGCCAGGAGTTCGCTCCCCCATCCCACCACTCTGGCATGGAACTCTGGAGAATTCTAAGCCCCAGCCCAGTCCCCCAGGTCATTATGAAGCTGCACTTGTGAAGGCAGGAAGAGAAGCCAGAGTCTATATGTAACAATTCATTGTCTTCATTTATAATTTCTAAGTGGCCTAAATCAGGGGTCCCCAACCTCCGGTGATCTGAGGTGGAGATGATGTAATAATAATAGAAATAAAGTGCATAATAAAGGTAATGCGCTTGAATCATCCTGAAACCATCCCCTCCCACCCTGTCCATGGAAAAATTGTCTTCCATGAAACCAGTCCCTGGTGCCAAAAAGGGTGGGTGGGGACTGCCGGCCTGAATGTTCTCCTCACGGGGGGGGGGGGGGGGGGGTCGGCTCTGTTTGCACCCTTGCACCCAGCTCTGCAAAGATCAAGGGTTTCACCAGTGAGTGAGCTGAGTGGAAGCGTTGTTAGCCCAGGCTAGCCCCTCTTCCTTAGCCCTTCTCTCTTGGAAAAAGACAAGGTTCTGGCTTCAGAGCTAGGATCGAATTCCAGCTTCGTCTCTTACCTTCTCTGTGACCTGAGACCCACTCATTTCTCTGATCTCCCATTTCCTCCCATGAAAACTGGAGGTATTATTCTCCGTCTCAATAGACTGCCTCATAGTTCATGAAGGAGGAACTTAACCCTTTTCCCCTCCCTTTTCTGTGCCAGGTATCACTTGAGGTTCATTTGAGGGGACCACCTCCAGCCTCCACAGCGGGGGCCAGATAACCCATGGCTCTAAGATCCACCCCCCTCACCAGGACTGGAAATCAATCCTTTCTCCAAAACTCCTTACTGTTAATCGCCGGAAGCACAATGGTGGGCATGACGTAGTTCATGACAGACTGCAGCAACTCAACCTGGGGATCAGGAGGACAGGACCCACGTCAGGGCACTAGGGCATCAGCTGTCCTCTGTCACCGCCCTCCCACCCAGAACAACCTCAGGAAGAACCGCCGAGAGACAGACACAGGGGTGACCTGGAAACACTGCAGCTCAAGGTCACCAAAGTGATGTCTTTTGCTTTAAAGGTTCCAGATGCAAATTGCATTCTAGACTTGTAGGGGGCAAGGCGGAGGCAAGGAAGGTCATCACAGAGCACTGAAATGTGAAAACCTTTGTGTAAGAAAATGCATTCTATCAGATATTGCAGGCTAGGGGGCAAATTAATTCAACCTTTCGCAGGGCTATTCGGCAATGTTCATCAGAACCCTCAACAATGTGTGTGCCAAGGGGGTCACAAAGATGCCTTCGAGACATTATTCCTAAAGAAATGAGGTAGTGCAATAAATACAACCAAATAAAAGGAACCTACAGGTCCAACAATTGGGGAATCATCTTGGGAGCGGGCCGCACCTGGTTGCATTTGGATAATAAGAGATACTGTGTAACTATTTAGGGCTTCCCTGGTGGCTTAGATGGTAAAGAATCTGCCTGCTATGCAGAAGGCCCAGGTTCCATCTCTGCGTCAGGAAGATCCCTTAGAAAAGGGAATGGCTACCCACTCTAGTACTCTTGCCTAGAGAACTCCATGGACAGAGGAGCCTGGTCCATGGGGTTGCAAAGACTCAGATATGACTGAGCAGCTAAAACTTTCACTTTTCACGTGTAATTATTAAAAATGATATGGCAGAAATATAGCATCACTGACTCAATGGACATGAATTTGGCAAACAGAGAGACATTGGAGGACAGAGGAGGCTACAGACCACGGGATAGAAAAGCCCTGGACACGACTTAGTGACTGAACCCACAACAGCAACAGAAATATATTGGATTGGCCAAAAAATCCATTTGGGTTTTTCCATAACACCTTACAGAAAAGCCTGAACAAACTTTTTGGCCCACCTGAGAATTATCAACATAGATTTTTTTTGTGATCTATTTTTGAGTTAAAAAAAAGGCAGGCTAATGTATAACTAATTCACTTTGCTATAGAGCAGAAACTAACACAACACTGTAAATCAACTGCACTCCAATAAAAATTTTAAACAAAGAAAAATCAGGCTACAGAAACCACGTAATTCCATCTGATTATTAAATATGCATCGAAAAAAGTCAGGAAGGATATACACCAAATTTTTAAGTAAGTGGTAAAACAGGAATGATTTTTATGTTTTGTTTTGCAAATCTGTAGGTCCTGACTGTTCTATAATGTACATGTTTTGCTTTTGCAATAATTGAAAAAAATTCAAAAATAACATAACACCCTCAAAATGATGGCCTGTAGTGGTGACATTTACAACCTGTCAATATGTACATTTTTGTTTCTGGAACAATTAATTCAGTTTCCTTCCCCTGGCTGTAATTCCTGGGGCTCATCAAATGTGGTGCCCTTATTCCCATGAATCTGGGAACTTTAAATTTTTATTTTCTGCAGAAGCAGAAGTTAGTTATTGACTGAGTCCAGCTGCTGCCAGGAGAGCCCTGGCATCAGTAAATCCATGAAAATACAATGAGGTTGCTTTGGGTCTTTCTGTTTGTTGTAATCTTATCAGATGGGAACGGCTGGCTGGATTTCCATCGGATTTGGAGGGGATATTGGGACTGACTTCAGGGTTGGGTGATGGGGGTGCATTTCAGAGATCTAAGGAAATGTTCTCCAGAGGTTTAGCAAGAGGCTCTCTGGCAGATTCGGGCCATGAGCAGTAAGACATTGTGGGCAGAATTAGCATCTTTTAATGGAGAAGGAAACAACCCACTCCAGTATTGTTGACTGGAAAATCCCATAGACAGAGCAGCCTGAGGGGGTCGCTTAGAGTCAGACATGACTTAGTGGGCAGGACTCAGCAACTAAGTAACGACAACAGTGGAAGTCACAAGGGCAAGGCTCATTCAGGTCAACTGTTGAAGAGCATCTGACCTGCTGTTTACAGGGGCAGCTCCCCACCGGGGCCAGAAGGTATGGTAGGAGGAGAGGGAGCAGTGAACCTCCTATTTTTAAAAATAGATTTTTGGGGGATGTGGACCATTTTTAAAGCCTTTATTGGATTCATTACAATAGTGCTTCTGCTTTATGTTTTGTTCTGTTTTTTTTTTTTTTTTTGGCCATGAGGCACGTGAGATCTTAGCTCCCCGACCAGGAACTGAACCCGCACCCCGTGTATTGGAAGGTGAAGTCGTAACCACTGGACCACCAGGGAAATTCCCAGTGGTGAGTCTATTTGATGACAGGGATTCCAGGCAGTGGAATCATCTCTGTGGGCTGGTGAGATACCAGTCGTCTCCCTCCCATCTGCCCTACTCTGTAAGTGACTCTACCATTCATTCACTCAGTTGCTCAAGTCAAAAATCTGGGAGTCATTCTTCATTGCCTTTCCACCCACCACGCACAGAAAATCTCTCCCCAAGTTCTAATTCTGCTTCCAAAGTATGTCTCCCATCCGCCATCTTTCTCTTCCTTCCTGGCCTCATCCCAGCCTCCATCATCTCTCATGTGGACAAATGCACCAGCCTCCCCAAGGCAAGGATCCATATGCTCTGACTCATTCCCCCATAGTCCATTCCCATCATCTCTGCAGGGGCATCTTTTATAAAGTGGAAATGGGATCATGTCCCTCCCTGCATGAAACAGTTCGCTGGCTTCTCATTGCCCTCTGAACACAAGCTACTCTAGCCTAGAAGGCTCAGGGTGGGCCCACCCCTGCCTGCCTGCCTGCCTGCCTGCCTGCCTGCCTGCCTGCCTCTCTCTGCCCCCTACTTCTCATCTTGTTTCTCCAGCCACACTGCTTGCCCCCATTGCCCGAAAAAGCCAAGCTGTTTCACCACAGGGCCTTTGCTCCTGCTGATCCCTCTGCCTGCATCTCCACCTGTGGACTCCTTCAGCCCAAAATCACTTCCCCAGAGAGGCTTTTCCTGATCATAGGATCTAACCCTTAACCTCCCCCATCACTTTCTACCCCACCTCCACTTAATTTTTCAAAGCATTGATCTTGACTGAAATGATCTTCCTCATTTCTCATTGTCTGTTTCTCCCCTACAATGGAAGCTCTAGAAGGAGTTGTTTTCTTGTCTAATTCATCAGCACATCCCCATCCATGGAACAGGGCCTGGCACATAGTAGGTACTCAGGAAGGTAATTCACTTGTTCATTCAACACACATCTGTTGAGCAGATTCTCTATACCTGATTGTGTACAGTTAACCCCATTTAAAACTCACTGCACTAACTCAGGCAGAAATTATTATCCTTGATTTGTAGGGAAAGTATTTGTAGGAAGTTCAGTGAATGGAAGTGGCTTGCTCAGGGCCCATAGTAGGTTTGGAGCTGCAATTCCAGCTCAAGTCTCTGTGCCTACAATTGTGTGTGTGTGTGTGTGTGTGTGTGTGTGTGTGTGTGTGCACGCGCACTCAGTCATGTCCAACTCTTTGTGACCCTATGGACTGTAACCCACTGGCTCCTCTGTCCATGGAATTTCCCAGGCAAGAATACTGGAGTGGGTTGCCAGTTCCTCCTCCAGGGGATTTCCCAAACCCAGAGGTCAGCACCCTATCTCCTGTGTCTCCTTAGTACAGAAAAAGCATAGTATATGTAGAGTTCCCTTCTATCTGTGGTTTCAAGCAACCCCAAGGTCTTGGAATATATCTGCTGTGAATAAGAGGGACTACTATATTCAGTTAAGCTGTTCAAGAGGAAATAAAGATTTCATCACACAATTCATTGTGACAAAAACCTAGACTATCCCACTTTGCTCAAAGGTAGTATGACAGTATATATCTTTTATGATGCTACGTCTCCAAATTTGCTTGTTTCTACTTGGCCATAGAGACAAGGAAGTCAGTTGTACACAAAACCCACAGAGCTCCTCCCCTCATTATTTCACATGAAAATTATATGCAGACTAATCAGTGGTCTGTTGAAATGATGCTCTGAGCCCAGGTGGCCCTCAGGACAGTTATCTCAAGATCAGAGGAAGGAAGGAGCCACCAAGGGCCTCAGACTCACCGAGAAGGGGCCGATGTCTGAGTGCTTCAGTTCCAGGAGCAGCCTGTGAGAAGGGGAGGGGAAAGTTGAGACCACAATTTGCCTGATCCATATTAGAATTCAGTTACTGGGGAGAAGGGCTTCCCAGGGGGCGCTAGTGGTAAAGAACCCTCCTGCCAGTGCAGGAGACATAAGAGATGGGTTTGATCCCTGGGTTAGGAAGATCCCCTGGAGGAGGGCATAGCACCCACTTCAATATTCTTGCCTGGAGAATCTCCTTACAGAGGACCCTGGGTTGCACAGAGTCAGACACAACTGAAGCAACTTAGCACAGCATTAAGGAGAAGGGACACTCTCTGGTGGATGTCGTCTGCTTTTCCCATCCTGTATCCATTCCTCCTTCCTCTGGTGACAGCTCCCTGATTTTTTCTTTGGGACAGTCATCTGTTCCCTACATTGTTAATGCTGGGTTCCGGGGTGGGATGGCCAAAGGGCGGAGTCTACCTCCGCTGCCACAGTGATTGCTTTGAGAATTGACCACTAACCCATGCTGGTCCAAGGACTTCTGCTGGAAATATTGGGAGTGAGGTATTCTCTTTTCTCCAGCAAAATTAGCTGGTGACCATTTTTGCCACCACTCGGTGACAGCCTGCTGGGAAACGAAGCCAGTATGGGGGAGAATGGAGCCAAGAAGAGAGTCAGAGACCTAAGGATATCATTTGAGCACCTGGATCTACCTGTGTCTGAAACCCTCAGACTTTTGAATAATTTGAGCCCATAAACAATCCCCTATTTATGGACTTTATGACATCTTAACAATGATCCAGGAGAAAGGTAAATAAATGGCTATTTAATGAATCCCTTTTTTTCACTATGTTGGATGCTATATCCCACTGAATTCCTGTAACATCCAAGAGGCAAGGGCCATCACACTCCCATTTTACAGATGATGTCCTTGACAATCAGAGAAGACAAACAATCTGCCCAAGGGCACGCAGTTAACAATCAGCCAAGTAGCAATTCAACCAGGTCTCCCTGATGCCAAAGCTTCTGTTGTCTCCAGTACCCTACAAAGCTTGAAAGCTCTCGCCCTGTGGGGTCTCCCCACCCCCCATTCCTGCATATTCCAGGAAGTCTGTGCTCAGCCATCACTCAGCTGTATTTTCTCCAGCTCCTCTACCTGAGAGGCCCACAGGTGTTTCCAAGAAAATGAAATCCACATGTTTCCAAAGCAGTAACACTTGTCAAAACGATGCCAGGAGAAATAAGCAGCATGCAAACCTCAGGAGCCAAACTCAAGGTTAGGAAGGACAGCTCTGTGCCAGAGAGAAGGCAGAAACAGGCAGGAATGTGGGTCAAGACTCAGTTTAAGCAGAGTGAAAGTGAAGAAGAGGTAGACGCCAGGTCAGAACGCGGGGGTCGTCAGGTCTGCTCACGCTTGATCTCTGTGTGTCTCCCTCTCTCCCTCCTGCCTCCTTTGGCGTCTGTCTGTCTCTCTGACGGTCCCCCTGTTACTGTGTCTCTTCATCCATCTGTCTGTCTTGCCCTACTTCCTTTCTCAGTGTCTCCCCCTCCCTCACTGTGTCTCTGTGTTTCCCGTCTCTTCCTGTCTCTCACCCCATTTCTATATTGCTCTTCTGTGTGCTGCTGTCTTTCTCTTTTCCCCTTGCTTGTTGAGCACTTATTATATCCTTCAAAGTGTTCTAACCATACAACACATATTAATACAATGATGCAGCTGGCAAAGAACAATTATTGGACTTCTTTTACCAGCCAGGGCAAAAGGCTGAAGTCTGAAGGGTTCTATGCTTGCCAAAGGTGAGCTGCACTTGAAAGGCAGCCGCCTCAGCCTCCGAGTCCACGTTCCTAACCCCCATCTCCTCTGCTGGGATTCAATCCCAGGCACGGATTCCAGAGTCTCCTGGCAGGAGGTGGCTGATGAAGGCCCAAGGATGGGGTGTGAAGAAGTTGAAGTGGATTTCCAAGTGTCAAGGAAGGCCAGGGACATGGGGTGGCTGGAGGCTGGAGATTTATCAACTGGCCCTGCGCAGTCATGATTGGACTAGGATAGGGGCGTGACCTGGGATGCAGGAGTTTCAGTGCTAAAGCTGGGTCACTGCAGACCAGCCGAGATGGTTGATCACCCTATGACGTGTGGTGTTGGGCGGGTCACTTCATCTCTGAGCACCAGTCTCACTATCTGCAAAATGGGGATATTGTACCTACCGTGCCCTGTTTGAGGTTTAAATGGGATGAACGAACACAGAAGTTTAGAACTTTGTAAGGTCACTGTGAACTCACAGGCACCAAGACTGGATGGGCAGGACTTCCCCAGTAGTTCAGTGGATAAGAATCTGCCTGCCAATGCAGGGGACATGAGCTTGATCCCTGGTCCAGGGAGATTCCACATGCCCTGGGACAACTACTGAGCCTACAATCGAGCTGCAAGTACTGACTCACATGCCCTAGAGTCTGTGCTCCCCAACAAGAGAATCCCAAACACCGCAACTAGAGAGTAGCCCCCACTTGCCACAGTTAGAGGAAACACACTAGCAGCAACAAAGCCGAAAGAAGACGGACGGGCAGCCCCCTCCTCCCATGCCCGCCGGCCCACTTACTTGTCCAATCTGAGCTCTCCAATCAGTCTGTCGGACTTGGCACCAAGATGCACAGAAAGGTTCAAGTTCTGCAAAGCAACCATCCAGGAAGTGACGCCACTGACCCAGAATCCTGGGGCTCCGCAAAGCCTCCAAGACCAGGTCTGCTTCACAGAGACTCGGCAGAAGCGCCCACATTGCTAGGGCAGGCCCACAGAACCCACGGAAGGGACGAGTCTTCCTTTCACCAACTTTGTGCTTGTGATGAGTCCTGGACTGTCAGACAATTACCATTTTTCTCTCCCTGCTTCTGGGACCAGTTCAGACTCCCAGGCCACTCCCATGGGCTGTAGGAGACAGGCTGTGAGGTAGGAGTCCAGGCCAGCTCTATTTCACATTCATTCATTTAGTCATTCAACAAATGTTTACTCAGAAAACCAAGGTTTCCAACCTCAGCTTTCCTGTCCACTGTCTGTGTGACTTTGGGCGACCCCCTCAGAACCCACTGAATCTGCAAAGTGAGGAAAATGGGTCTCAACTTGAAGCTGGACACACCTGAGTACCTGTTGTTGGGGAGAGTCTGGCCCTCACCTCCAGTGGCCAGAGAGGATGCCACCAAATGTTTGTGGAGTGACAGAGTGATCAAATGATGAATGTACAAGTCAACCATGGGATGAAAACTTAAATAAGTGAAGCATTAAATGCACAAAGGAAGGAATAAATAAAGATAGGCATGGATGAATAAGTGATTAATGAATGAATGAACAAATATACAAAGGAATGATCCATTGAACAAAGATATAATAAATGAATAATGAAATAAATGCATGTATAAACCAGCAAAGATACAGTCAATTTCAAGTTAGCAGTTGAAATTAATAATTGAATGACTAAATAAATGAATGAACAAACCCACAAGTGTATAATTGAATGGCCAAAGATATGCATGAACAGATTGGAAATAGTATACCTATTTCAAGCCAACCACAGAATAAATAATGGAATGAATGAAGAAGTCAGAAGACAGTGGCTCTGGACACACACAGTGTAGGTTTGAGTCTGGGGAGGCTTTACGCCAGTCCCCCTGGCTCTCAGGGCAGTGCTCTGAGCCCTGTCCAGGGCTGCCTGTCTGCTCAGATCTGGGAACGGCTTACCATTTCAAGCTGGAAGAGGGGATCCAAGGAGGAGTTTGGGAGGATGGCAAAGGCCTGGGTGTCCAGGACAAAGATGAGGTCAAGGCCGCTGGCGTTCACGGTGAGTTTCGGAGGCAAAGAGGCCCAGATGAAGAGCTGCATCTGCATGTCAGGGAACATCTTGGCCACCTGCAACCCACAGGGGACGACCAACAAAAGAGGCCATTGATTAGAGAGTGTCTAAATCCTATCCTGTCCTGGTCCTGCAGAAGCACTTCCGATATCTTCCCACTGTTGTTTTTTGGCGGTGCTGGATCTTCATTGCTGCACGAACTATTTTTCTCCGGTTGTGGTGAGTGGGGGCTACTCCCTAGTTGTGATGCACAGGCTTCTCCTTACAGTGGCTTCTCTTGTTGCAGGGCACAGGCTCAAGGGCACTCGGGCTTCAGGACTGCGGTTCTACAGCACAGGCTCAATAGTTGTGGTGTACGGACTTAGCTGCTCCGTGGCATGTAGGATCTTCCCAGGTCAGGGATTATTGAACCTGTGTCTCTTGCATTGGCAGGCAGATTCTTTGCCACTGAGCCACCAGGGAAGCCTTCCCATTGCTTTCGGAATAAATTGTAAAGACTGTATAATTCAGCACCTGGCACCCTGCCAACCTCACCCCATGCCCACCCCCTCCACCGCTTCTACCACTTGCCCTCTAACTCCATCCACAAGGTGGAGTTCTTTTCCTTAAATGTGACTCGCTGTCTTTGTATCCATCAACTCAATTAATCAATCGCAGCTTTACAAGGTGAAGTTGTTATTACTGCATTTTATGTATGAGAATACTGAGATACAGGCACAACATGCTCAGGAACATAAAGCTAGTAAGTAAGGGCCAGAGTTCAAACCCAGATAGATCCCAGGAAGGGATTTATAATTCAAAATATCTTTTTGGATGGAATAAAAGTATCCTGAAATTAACTTTAAAAAATTGTGATCTGGTCTCTTTCTGTCTAAAACTCTTTGCACTCTCTGTTCCCTCTCCCTGCATGTTTGTCCTGGATTCCTCCCTAGCTTGGCTCTTTCTCTTCCTTCAAGTCTGGAGAGTAGTGATGGGTTCAAAAGGAACAAAAAAGAGCTTTGACAACACCCCCATCTCTGCTAGCCTCCAGTCCTCCCCCAGGTAAACTCACAGTCTGAATAAAAGAATGCAATTGTTATGCAAATGAAGCTTCCCTTTCCCTTTCCCTAACCCCCCTAGGCGTTTGCACCTCCTCCACACCAGTACTGTCTATATAGAAATTTCTGGAAGTGCCACCATCAAAGAGGCTATTATAGACTGAATGTTTGTGTCCCCCCTGCTCAGCGAATTCATATACCTAAGCCCTAACCCCCAAGGTGGGCTTTCCAGGTGGCTCTGTGGTAAAGAATCTGTCTGCCAAAGCAGGAGCTGCAGGAGACACAGGTTTGATCCCTAGATTGGGAAGATCCCCTGGAGGGGGAAATGGCAACCCACTCCAGTATCCTTGCCTGGAGAATCCCATGGACAGAAGGAACCTGGTGGGCTACAGTTCATGGGGTTGTAAACAGTTGGACACAACTGAATGACTGAGCACAACCCTCAGTGTGGCTGTCTTTGCACATGTGGCCTAAAGGAAGTAATTAGGGTTAAATGAGGTCATCAGTGTGGGGCCTGATCCAATAGGATTAGTGTCCTAATAAGAAGAGACACTAGAGCTTGCCTGCTGTCTCTCCACAAGCTCAGGCCTTTCCGGCCTTTCCGGCCTTTCCGGCCATCTGAGAACCCAGCAAGAAGGTAGTCATCTACAAGCCAGGAAGACAGCCCTCACCAAAAACCAAATCTGCTGGCACCTTGGCCTTGGACTTCTTGACTTCCATAACTGTGAGAAATAAATTTCTGTTGTTTAAGCCAGGCAATCTGTGATATTTCTTTATGGCAGCCCAAGCAGACCCAGAGGCCCGACTTGGCTGCCTTTGTCTGTAGCGACCTCATCAACTTCAGCCAGTTTGTGATAAACTTCAGCTTCTCTGCTGGCTCAGATAGCAAAAAAACCTGCCTGCGACGCAGGATACCAGGGCTCGACCCCTGAGTCGAGAAGAACCCCTGGAGGAGGAAACGGCAGCCCACCCCAGTAGTCTTGCCTGGGAAATCTCATGGACAGAGGAGCCTGGCGGGCTACAGTCCGTGGAGTCACAAAGAGTATGACACGATTGAATGACTAACACTGTCACTTTTTCACTTATCAGAGTCTGAGTTTTCTCTTTTTATTGTTTTGGGTGTCTGAACAATAATTTTCTCTCTCTCTACTGGACGGGAGCTCCAGGAGGGCTGGGATACGGTCTGTTTTGCTGGATGCCCTGCACAGGGCCCCAGAAGTGTGGTGGGCACTCAGTAACTATTTGATGAATGGATAAGCCCTCAGGATGTACTCTCACACATGGTGACATGAGTGCTTGGGGCCTTTCTCTTTACTGGGGATGGGCTGCACAAAGCTCTGTCCACACTCTCAGACTGGGTCACCTCTCCATCTGGACGGGGAGCGGCTCTCAGCAGAGCTGTTCTCAGCTCCCCCAGGCCTCCTCATGAGATGACTAAAGGGGAACAAGTCCTTTCTTACCTGGGGTATCAGGGTTCCAAAGAATTTGGTTGTCAGGCGGAACTTGGATTCCTTTGGAATCTGTAGCAAGGGAGGAAGAGAAAAGGATCTTGGAAGATTATGTTATAGATTGGGGGGCAAATTCTATATGAGGTGTGAGAGAATGAATACATAAACAGACCGTGGCCAGATCATGTATGACTGAAGAATGCTGACCTAGAATGATCAGTGACTGCCAGCTTCCTTAACTTTTGCGCTGGAAAAATCAGATATGCTTTCCAAACCGATCACATAAGATGTCTGGCTTCTGTTAGCCCTGCCTCCAGCTTGCCCACACCCACAATCTCTGTAAAAGCCTACCCAGCACTCTCTCTTTTTTCACTATAAAGCTTTCCCACCCTGGGTCTGCCTTTGAGTCTACCGAACACAAGAGTTCTCATTGGGATGGTCTCTGTTTATCTCCACAGGGAGACAAGTCAGGGCTCAGCATCCCTTTGATGCCTCTCCAGAGGGGGAGGATCTGGCATCAGAGCAGAGGAGGAACCCTGCGTGGCTGGTGAGCAGGGTGGGTCCCGTTGCCCCTAGACTCTGGGGAGGATGGTCATTTCCTCATTCTACATATGGGCAAACTGAGGCCCAGAGCAGGACTCAGCCACGGATATAGAGACAAAGACATTGAGGATGACGACCATAATGGTGATACGATGCTAAGACTGGATTACAGACAGAGACACTGCAGGGACTCAGTCAATGTTAGCTGTTACCATTAGGATTCAGGGGATTTCCTCCACACTCATAAGTCTGTGCTGGGGCTGCCCAAGTAATCATATCTCATTCAACCTTCCTTACATCCTTTGGATGAAGATATCATTTTTGGTGTTTTACAGATGAGGTTCTTAGAGGCTGAATAACCGACCTAAGGTCACCAGGATGGGAAAGAGGGGAGCTGGGGTTTGAACTCAGGTCTGGCTGACTCCAGAGTTCAGACCTCGATATTCCTGGCTGTGAACCAAGACTCAGATCCAGACTGTCTACCGCACTCTCTTCCCACATTCACTCCCATTTGGCCTTACCATGTCGTCTCTGAGGGTCAGATTCAGGGCTCCAGCCTCCTGATACACGAACCCGGCCGTGTTGAAAAAATACTCAGAGATGCCCAGGTACACCATGCGGTCGTGGTCAGCGGGAAAGGCCATCGGTGGGGGGGCAAAGGGCGGGGGGCTGCGGTGGGCCAGACTGAAAAACTCCCCCTGCAGGCAGAGGCAGCAGAGTGAGCCTGGGCATCCTTCAAGAATTACAATTCGATGTCTCCATTCCAGGAAAAAACTGGCATCACTGACTTGATGGGCATGAGTTTGAGCAAACTCCGGGAGTTTGTGATGGACAGGGAGGCCTGGCGTGCTGCAATTCATGGGGTCGCAAAGAGTCGGATACAACTGAGTGACTGAACTGTCTGACTGAACTGAAGGATACTAATCCCGGATTAACAGAGGAGAAAGCCATGGCCTGAAACTAACAATAGCATTGCATGCCTCCTTGTGCTAATTTCTAAGTGTTTTCCCACCAAGGCTGTGTAGTAGATGAGATCACCTGCATTTTACAAGAGAGGATGCTGAAGTTTCCCAGGTGGCTCAGTGGTAAAGAATCTGCCTGCCAATGCAGGAGATGCAGGTTTGATTCCTGGGTTGGAAGATTCCCCTGGAGAAGGAAATGGCAACCGACTCCTGGTGAGCTACAGTCCACGGGGTCACAAAGAATCGGACACGACTGAGTGACTGATCACACAGACACACACTGAGGCTTGGGGAGATGAAGTGGCTTGCCCAAGCTCACTCAAAAGGGTGAGTGCCAGAGTCAGTGATTGAACCCGGACATCTGGATTCTGGCAAGCACATTCCTGACTATGCCATGGTCTCTGCCTCAACCTTGCAAATAAGCGCAGAAATTCTAAAAGAACAAGGAGAATTCTGTTTGTTTGTTTTCACTTATCAAATTAGCAAAATATTCAAGAAAGAGGTAAATTGTTTTAAATATGTGTGTATTTTAAACTGATACTATCCAGTTTTTGGTGAGAGTATTCATGGGCTCCTGGGGAATATGTTTACATTTCTGAAGAGCAATTTGGCTACGTAATGCAAAAAACAGATAATTCACTTAGTTGAAAAACAATAATGTTGAGTTATAAAATAGCAAATTTTTGATGGATACATATGTTAGAATACCATTTATGTAAAACTGTGCTTTAGTCACTAAGTCGTGTATGGCTCTTTGCGACCCCATGTACTATAATCCACCAGGCTTCTCTGTCCATGGGATTCTTCAGGCAAGAATACTGGAGTGGGTTGCCATTTACTTCTCCAGGGGATCTTCCCGATCCAGGGATTAAACCCGGGTCTCCTGCATTGCACGCAGATTCTTTACCAACTGAGCTATGAAGGAAGCCACTTATGTAAAATTAAAGGCATAAGAATTATTGACATCAGAGATAGATAGAAAAAGTATAAAAACTCAGGCGAGAAGGACACATAAGGATGTCATCCACGTGATTCCCTGTGGGGTAGAGGGTCCCCAAGGGTGCCTCAGCTCTTTACTTCTACAATATTTCATCTCAAAAAATATCAAAGGTGAATATGACAAAATAGTAACACTGCTAAAATCTGGGTCGTGGGTATGTGATAATGTGTAGTATTCTCTGTACTTTTGGATCATTATTTGCCGATAATGATCATGACACCAATCTTATAGAATAAATATCATGAGCAACTCTTAAAAATAGCTGCAAAAAAAGACAAAAAATAAAAATAACGGGTGGACCTATGTACCAACCAGGAACCATCTCTAATATATATCGCTAGGTGAGAAAAGCAAGTGAAGAACAGATTCTCAGTAAAACTAGAAGGGCTTTCATGTAAGTGTATATGAATGCTCAGGATCAGATTAATACCCGCCATGGCTGACAGCTATCACCTCTGGGCAGGAGCCCCGAGTGTGGGGGGGGCGGCGGGCGGCAGTAAACAGGACATTCTCATTCGCTAGGGATAATCAGGTATTGTTTTAATCCGTTGTTCCATCTTATCACTTAGATTATTTTACAAGTATACTATTTGGTCCAGCAATTTCACTTCCAGAAAATAATCAGAGATGGGCAGAGACCCAGCTACAAGGATACTCATGGCAGCTCTGGTTACACTTGTCGAAAAAATGGAAAGAGCTCAGACATCCCAAGAGGGGGCACTGTCTGCATACCTTATCACAAGCTGTCCGCTGAAAGACCCAAGAGGCATTTAAAGGACTACGGGAGGACATTTCACTGATAGATGTACACCTTGCACTGTTCTGGTTTTAAAAGGTGTAAAACATGACTTGTACACATATATATGTTTATATATGTTGTTTTTGTGTGTATTTGTTTCCATGCCTACATGTGTGTATTTTTGTTTCTGCCCCTTTTACACGTGTGCCTGTGTGTGTGTAATTTTCTGTGTTTAAGCAGAGGAAAGGATTGGAGGGTTGGAGAAGTGTAATTTATGTGTCAGCATACAGATCTCTAAGTCATATTATTACGGTAATTTCTCTTTTCTTCCCCCCACCTTCTTTCCCTCCTATTTATTTCTTCTGCTTCTATGTGGTCTCTACATTTTTTTTTTTTTTTTTGGACATTAAATGTGTTTTAGAGAAAACAAGCAAATAGTAAACAGACACACCAGTTGTGGAGGGACTGAGGTACATCCGGAGGGGATTTAGAAAGTGGGACTTATTCCAGCTGAGATGGGGGAAGGCTGCTTGGGGAGTGACATCCCAGCCAAGACCCGCTGGAAGATAAGAAGAAGATGGCTGGGAAGAGGAGGGGAAGGAGTAGAGGGGAGTCCAGGCAGAGGGAATGGACGGGATGAAGGCCCTAAGGTGGAAATTAGCTGGAAGTGTTGAGGAGGTGCAAGGCCAGTGAGCCTGGCTGGAGGGTAGACAGTGAGGGGAAAAGTGGCATGAAATGAAACTAGCTCACTCCATCCATCCATCCAACCATCCATCCATCCATCCATCCCATACACATTTACAGAACAGGTATTACACACCAAGCATAGCTCTAGGTGCTGTGTACGGTGAAGAACCAAGCAAACACAGCCCCTTCTCTTCCATCATATTGAGGGAGACAGGCTTGCGACTGCAGTGTGCGTACATGAGTAATAAGTGCTGCTGAGAAAAATAAGCAGAATATAGGGGAAGAGGAGGGTACTCTTTTAGCAATGGTGGTCTGGGAGGGCTTCTCTAGGGAGAGGATACTTGAGCAAAGACTTGAAGGAGGGAAGAGAGAGCTGCTGTCGATATCTGGGTGAGAGCCTCCTGGACAGAAGAAGCAACAAGTGCAAAGGTCCTGGGAGGGAGCAGTCATCGTGCATTTCAGGAACAGCAGGAAGGTCAGTGTGACTGGAGCCAGGAGAAGGCATGGAAGGTGGGCTGGGGAGAGTGGTGAGGATGGGTAGGAAAGGGGTGGGGTCATTGTAAGATTTGTTTCCAAGGGTGATGGGAAGCCCCCAGGTGTGGGGGTTCTGAGGCAGAGGTGTGAGGGTGTATGATTCTTGATATGAGTCTCACCTTCAGCAGCCCATCCAGGTTATCGGTTGTGGCTCTTGGAGGGGCTACCAGCGAGTAATCGACCCCAGCCACTTTGTCTAGTTTGGTTGTCACTAGAGGGAAAGAAGATGGACCATGAGCTGGCTCCCCGTGGCAGCATCTTTGGAGCCTGGGATGCAGACTCAGCATCTCCTAAAGTTAAATACAGACCTGCCGTGCTGATCCCATTCCCACTGCCTCCAAGGAGCCCTCCTCCCTGAGCTCCCTTTAAAGGAAAATGAGCCCACAGCCCACATTCACAGAAACATCAACTCCCTCCCTTCTTCCAACAGCCCTGAGACATGGCTAAAGCAGAGTCAAGGGGCAGGATGACTTGGGCTTAAATTGAACTCTGTGTGACCTTGGACAAGCCCTTTCCTCTGAGCCACTTGTCTTGATTTGTAGGGTGGGGTACTACTGACGACTTTGCAGATGCCCTCTACATGGTTAGGGGCTAAAGCCAGCAGGGGTCATTACTGCAGTGATAACATCCCAGGCTGAGCCCAAACTGGCTTCAAGTCGGAATGGTTTTTCTGTTTCCAGCATTAATCAATGAGGATGAAATGAATATTGCTTTCTCCTTTAGCCCTTCTTTCCCATGTTAGAGGGAATAAACTGAGAAAACGTAACGAGTCCTGGATGGCAAAGCTTGTGAGTGACAAGGCTGGGACTCAAACCAAGATCTTTTTCCTGCCTGGTGAGGCTAAACCCTGGACCCTGCAGCTGCACTGAACACGCCCAGGATGGGTTGGGGCAGTGCCCGGAAGAAGGAAATGCATCTGAAGCAGACAAGTACCACGTGTTGGCCACACTAGGCTCTGTGGGGAGGCAGCCCTGGTAGAAGTTTGGGGCACAGGCTCTGGAGTAGGAAAACCTGAACTTGGATCATATTTCTGCTTCTTACTGGCCTGGTGAATTTGGCAAGTCATGGCTCCTGTTTCCTGGTGTAAATCTGGCAGAAAACAGTGATCTCAGTGAGGCACTGGGAGGCCTAGAGGAAACATTACTGCTGGGTACATGACACATGGTGACACTTGGCCAGATGGGTCTTCCTGCACCTTCTGCAGCCCTTCACAGTCTACTGAGCTCTTGGGGAAAGAGAAGATTGTGTCCATTTTAAAGACATGGAAACTCAGTCCTCGAGAGGGGAAGTGACCAGCCTCAGATCTCAGATCAGCTATGTATCTCTGGCTTCAGGGGGCTGTGGGTATTTGTTGTTTGGCCCTTGTAGGATTTCTCTTCCATTTAACTTCCAGACCTGCTACAAGGACCTGGTCCCAAGGGATCTGATGCTAATTACCATTTGAAAATAACCAGCTCTACTCATTCCCACCCAAGCCCAGGCCTGCCTAGGAAACTTGCTGGCTCCATCACGCTCTCCCTATCTCCCTTCTACCTCAACTTTCCCTCCCTCTTCTACCCCAGGTTCCCCCTCCCCTTTTACCCCAGCCTTCTTAGCTCCGCCCAGCTCTTACCTGGCAGTGTCTCAAAGTAAGGCTGCAGCTTGGAGGACACAGTACTAGTCACCACCTCGCAGATCTTGGGAGAATAAAAGAAAAGATCAGGGAAGGCTTCCTGTAGTGGACAATGTCCTTTGGGAATAATTATGTGGACAGGTTTTGCTTGTCTTGAATGTTTCCTCAAAAATCATGTAGCTACTCAAGCTTCCCTTTTCTCTTTGGCCACCAGGAAGCTCAGAGTCCAACATATAGCTTAGAAATAGTAGCTGTATATGACTGTATGGGGGCTTCCCAGGTGGTGCGAGTAACAAAGAACACGCCTACCAATGCAGGAGATGCAAGCGACATGGGTTCTATCCCTGGGTCAGGAAGGTCTCCTGGAGAAGGAAATAGCAACCTGCTCCAGTATTCTTGCCTGGAAAATCCCATGGACAGAGGAGCCTGGTGGGCTAAAGTCCATGGGGTCACAAAGAGTCGGACACGACTGAGCAACTGAGCACACATATGATTGTATGAGATGCATATCTACATTTTATTTCCTGCTCAGACTCTAAAACCCATTTTATAATCTACTCTGCTATGCATTTTGACCACGATGCATGGATATTTTTTTCTTTTAATATTTGACAGAGTGCCTTCAGATGGATGGTTTATATCTCCTTACCCATATCGTCAGTGCCTTTGGCTGGAAGACCAAGGTCTCCCATCTGGAAGACAGCACAAGCCTCCTTAGTTTTCCCAAGACTCCTGCCCCTGCTCTGGGCCCCTCCAGCCATTCTCGCGGCAGCCAGAGAAATTGTTCTAAAGCACAGATCTGGCCAGGTCATCCCCTTGCCTAAAACCTTCAATGGCTCCCCACTAACCTCTGGAGAAAACCCAAGCTCACTCGGCTTGGAAGACAGGCTCTGGTGTTCCCTGGAAGCTGATGGTGTATTAATGGGAAGCTAGCCCAAGGAACCACCCCTTTTCTCAGCTGAAGAAGTTGTCTCGTAGGAGATGAGGGTTAGAGAGAAGGCAGGGTTGGCGGGATACACTGGTCTGTGTCTGTCCTTCATACCAGTTCCAGCCTCAGGACGTAGCTTGGCTACACTCTAATCTAGCAGCTTCATCAGCTGCACGTTTTTTGGGTGGGGCTCACCACCAAGGTGGAGAAGGCAATGGCAACCCACTCCAGTACTCTTGCCTGGAAAATCCCATGGACCGAGGAGCCTGGTAGGCTGCGGTCCACGGGGTCGCGAAGACGGACACGACTGAGCGACTTCACTTTCACTGTTCACTTTAATGCACTGGAGAAGGAAATGGCAACCCACTCCAGTGTTCTTGCCTGGAGAGTCCTAGGGACGGGGGAGCCTGGTGGGCTGCCGTCTATGGGGTCGCACAGAGTTGGACACGACTGAAGTGACTTAGCAGCAGCAGCACCACCACCACCAAGGGGGTTCTGAGGTGGGGGGCGGGGAAGGAGGCCGGAGGGCTAAGAGAGCTCGCCAGGAGAGAACAGTAGTTTCTCTGCAGGGAGGGACGACGTGGGGGAGGGCAGGGGTGGCTCAAGCGTGGGGGCGTTTGCTGAGGGTGCGTGACATGAACCTTAGTCTCTTGCTAGATTCCCAGGAAAATTGACCTGACACATTGTAGAGCTGGACTTGTTCTCCCTAAGGGCTGGAGGGGCCTGCTGAAGAGGTCTGGGTGAGAGCGGAAGTGTCCAGCGATGCCTGAGGTTTGTGGACACTGCGCCCCCCACTCTGACGGGGGCGGGCTGAGACTCGGAGCCCCTCCTACCTTGCTGGTCATGGCGTTTTGGAGCGAAGACTCGATTCTTTTGTGGAAGAGTTGGATCAGCCACCTGGATTGACATGTGGGGACAGGCGTGAGGCTTTCCAGGTACTTCCCAGGCTGTGCTCAGAAAGCTGCCTCGTCTGGGAAGCCTTCATCGCTCTTCCGAACAAGCCTTACCGCCCTTATCCCTGGGCTCCGAATCTGTACACCCCCATCAGACCCTTCTTCTCCTGTATTCAGTGACTGGTCATGAGGTTATTTCTTCCACAGGTGCACAGCGGGAACCCTGCCCCATCTCAGCCTCATTCCTCGTCATTCCCTCTCTCTCTGTCCTCCAGCCCCACAGCTCTGCCATGTCCTCCTGTGTCCTCTGCTTCCTCCCACCACAGGGCCTTTGCACATGCTGTTCACTCTGTTTAAAACACCCACTGTCCCCAATCTAATTAACTCCTACTTCTTTTCATCTCAATTCAAATGTCATTTCATCAAAGAACTGGGCAACCACCAGACTAGGTCAGAACCACCTGTTCTATGTGTTCACCACACTTTGTACCTCTTTTTCCTACTTCTAATATCCTTTTGTAATTCTTTGTGAGCCATTCATTAATGCAATGATTTGATTAATGTCTATCTTCCCCACAGGCTGAAGCTTCAAGAGAACAGGGGCGGTGAAGCTAAGAATCTGGGGGCTGGGAGTCCTGGATTGAATCCCTTCTCAATTCTCATTAGGTATGAAAACTCAGGCTACTTCCTATTCTTTCTGTGCCTCGATCTTCTCCTCTGAACGTGGGGTAATAATAGACTAAAGTGGGGTCTTTAATAAAAGACTCGTAGAGTCTTTGTGTGGACAGAATGGGATAAGGCTCATGTCTGAACAGTGCTCAGCATCTATCAAGCCTCCAATCACTGTCAGCAAGGCCAGATTTTTAGTGACCACTGCTCTTTCTTGAACACAATGAACAAGCCTCATGCACAGAAGTTTCTTAGTTGGTATTTGTTGGTTGGATGGAGGAATGAATGCCTATAGGCTTATGATAAGGATTGTATAACTTGGTGCACTTAAAGTGTTTAGTGCAGAGCCTGCCGCATAATAAGTGCTCAGTAAAAGTTTGCTGAATGAATACTGAATGAGCAAGGGACCCTTCAAGGCAGGGAGGGTGTGTTCCACCTGTGAACCTTTGTCCCCTCCTTACATCTGAGACCTTTGGACAAGGCTGGCATGGAAGTGGCATTTGGGATGTGCTGTCTGGATACAAGAATGATTACGATAATCCTGTCCCTCCTCCCAGGACTTCCCAGGTGCCTCAGTGGTAAAGAATCCACCTGCAATGCAGGAGATGTGGGTTCAGTCCCTGAGTCGGGAAGATCCCCTGGAGGAGGAAATGGCAACCCACTCCAGTATTCTTGCCTGGAGAATCCCATGAACAGAGGAGCCTGGTGGGTCGCAAAGAGTCAGACATGACTGAGTGATTGTGCACGCATGCACATTCATCCCTCCTCCCATCCACAGCCCCAGGAGGTCATACCCCAGCCTGCTGCCAGAGATGCGTATGCGGACGGTGTTGATGTGACTGCTGCAGTTGGAGCAGGTGACTGTGGAGTGGCCCGAGTCAGGGTCATAGCCCAGCTTCAGACCCGCCAAAATAGAGATGCCTTCCACACTCAGGTCAAACTTGCCGCTGAGTTTGCTGAAGGGAAACACAAAGATGAGACTTGGAGCAAGCATTTTCTCCCCTCTGCCGTCAAACTTCACACCAATGCTGGAAGGTAGGTTTTGCTGTTATCCCCACTCAGGATGAAGAGATGGAGTTCAGAGAGGGAAGGCCGCTTGCCCAATGTCACACAGCAGCTGAGTAAAAGAACCAGAATTCCAACTGGAAGTCTGAAGCCATGTCTGCCTGGCAGAACCCTCCTCTGATCCACTGCCTCAGCCTCTGCCTGTGCTGTGTTTCTCAACCTCTCTGAGCTTCAGGTTCCTTACTCAGACCTTGGACCAGCAGTGGGACACTAGTTTTGCCACTAGAAAGCTGAGTTTTGGGGAGGGACGTGTCTTTAATTAATTGATGACTTCATTCATTAAATGGGGTTAATAACTACTCCCTCCTGAAATGAGTTTGGGATAAGACAGTGGATGTGAATGCAATTTGTCAACTCTTCTATAATGTGAGGAAGTATTGCTATTTATTTGTTTATGATCCGTAAGTGAAATGATAGATGTGAAAGAGCTCACATGAAAAATTAAGCAATTCCCTCTGCTGTATAACACAGGGAACCCTCCTCAATGTTACGTGGTAGCCTGGAATGGGAGGGGAGTTTGGGGGCCAATGGATACATGTATATGTATGACTGAGTCACTTTGCTGCCCACCTGAAACTATAACAGCATTGTTAATATAAAATAAAAAGCTAAAAAAAAAAAAAGAAAAAGAAAAATTAAGCAGTGCTTATTGTGGGGAACAACACATCAGAAGTCCTTATAATGAAGGGCAGACCTACGCCTCTGTCCTCATCAAAGTGTCTGTTTTCTCCCTGGATTCCGCACAAAGGAGAAGTTGCTAAAATGACAGGTCATCTGAGTCACTGTCACTTCTGCACAGTGACCGCAGTGAGAGCCCGGTATTTAGATTCACAGTTGTAGTTTGGATGATTTGCCCCAATTTTCAGCCTCCCTGCATCCATACCCTCTACCATTGCCCATCTTGGGAGGATACGCGTGTATTTCCATGTTCTTGACTTTGGATGTGGCCACATGACTTATTTTGGCCAGTGGTATATGAGTAGAAGTGACTATGGGCCAGTTCAGAATCTAGGACTTATATGCCTCTGGTACCCTTTTGGCACCTCTGCAGGCCTAAGAATATGCTCTCTGTAGCCCATTCATTGGTCCAGGGAGGAGGAGGAGATAAATGTTGAACAGGGCCACCCCTAGCTGAGGCCAACCTATGGGAGGGAACTCCAGCCAAAAAAATAGATACATAAGTGGAGATATATGACTTGCTTTGGGTCACTGAGTTTGAGATGGTTTGTTACACAGCAGTTGCTAACTGATAAAGGGGTAAAGTAAAGGTCCTACTTAGCCTTCTATCCTAAGTCATGTGTACCAACTCAGCCTTAACAGTGTTCTGTATTGAGATGTGGGAACATGTTCAGCTACTAACTAAGAGTTATGTTAAAACTTCTTTTGTGAAAAATTTTCCCAGTAGCTCTGAGGGGGCAGAAGGTATTTGGCCAGGCAAAAATTGGGCATGCTTGAGATCTTGGCTCTCCTCTCTTCCAAGTATCACCAAGAGCTTACCCACACACTCAACAAACAACAACCTTGGAAACGTACATGAAGTTCTTTCGTGCCTTCCACTTTCCTCTGATGTTGATACTGGCATCTCTGATAGCGAGATCAAGGCCCTCACCTGGCGACGGTCTTATCTGGGAATTGGGAAGACTGAATCCTTGAATAACCATGCTGCAAGGAAGAAACGATCAGTTAGCCTCCTCGGGATCCCCACAAGGACTCAGTCAATGGTCAGTGCAGACTCATTCCCCTCCAGCCCGGTCCTTTACCGCATCCATTTTAGGAGAGCCCGAAAGTTATGATGAGAGCAGCCTTGGGAACTCTGCAGCGAGGCTTTGAAGTCAGACAAATCTGCATTTGAATCCTGCTCTTTGATTTACTTTTGTGTGATCCTGGGCGCATTGCTTAATCATCCTGAGTCTCAGTTTCCTCACTTGTAAAACGGGCACAATAACCTCTCTCTTGCAGGGTGTGTGATGATCAGCGAAGATAACAAATGTAATTCCATTGACTACACGTTCTGTAAGGGGTGGAATGTGTCTGTCTTTTTTTCACCATTGTACAATAGCAAAGCCTGCTGAATCAGACACATAGTAGGTGCTCAAATATCTGCTGCTAAGTGAGTGCATAAAATTCTTTAGAGGATATTTATGGGTTTTCTCCCCAGCACCCACATCCCTCTCTTGTTGATAACAGAACTGCCATTTTTACTTTGGAGGAACTCTTCCCCACATCTAGCCCATGTTGCTCTAGAGAAAGTTGACTTCACAGGCCATCTTCAGAGGGTGGAGCTTGAGACTTCAGTACAAGCTCATTCATGTTTTCTATTCCCTGGCCACAGTGATTGGTCCAGGAGTATGTATATAACCTAAAACGGATCAATCAGAGTGAATCTTGGGAGTTTTGTTTGAGTGGTAGGAAGACCGTGCCTTCCTCCTACAGGGCTGGGAGTGCTGAGAAGATGCTAATGGTCTCTTTGCAGGGACATCCTACCTGAGAATTAGCCCTTCCAGAGAGAAGTGATACTGAGAGATGGCAAGAGAGAAACAGGGTCCAGTGATATTTGAGCTTTCCTCAAGCTGAACCAGAAGCCAGACGATTCCAGGGACATCTCAGTCCTCTGAGCCCCTACATTCTGGTTAAGGTCATTTCTGATTAGGTTTTCTGTCATAGTAACCTCATCTCCGCCCCTAATCCCAGTTGACATGTGGGCTTGGCACAGAGTCTGGGGATTCATGACATCCCCTCGGGAGTCATGGTGAGTGCCTGAAAGACCGTTTGGGTGGTCTCCTCCACACGAAGCTTGGGGACTGTATCCCCTCTGCTGCGGCTGCTGCTGCTAAGTCGCTTCAGTCGTGTCCGACTCTGTGCAACCCCAAAGACGGCAGCCCACCAGGCTCCCCCGTCCCTGGGATTCTCCAGGCAAGAACACTGGAGTGGGTTGCCATTTCCTTCTCCAATGCATGAAAGTGAAAAGTGAAAGTTGAAGTCCCTCGGTCGTGTCTGACTCTTTGAGACCCCATGGACGGCGGCCTACAAGGCTGTTTAGTGATGTAAACACTAGCTTTGGGATCCTCTAAGCTCTCTGAGTTTAGGAGTTTGTGACTCTATGAGTCTAGGTCTTGCTGGCCCCAACACACGACAGTCCTGAACACGGAGGACTGAGCTGGCAGGGCTTACCTGGAGAAGCAGTATTGCCCTTTCCCGAGGTATTTTATCTTAAAGCTTCCTGAAAAAGTGGGAATTGTGATCTTCTCCAACTCCTTCTGCAGAGTAACCACTCCCTGCTGGCAGGCTGAGGAGAGAGAGGAGGCTGAGGTCAGAGGCATGTAGCTGGTTCATAGCAGAGACGGTGGGCTTGGAAAGGTCTACAGCAGGGCTCAGTTAAGGGCTGTCCTCAACACCCCGATAGTAAATATTTTCTGCTTTGTAGATCTTACTGTCTCCGTCACAACCACTCAGCTCGGATGTTATTGTACAAAAGCAGCTGTAGACAGTAAGTCAATGAATAGGTATGGCTTTATTACAATAAAACTTTACGGAGAGAAATTGAAATTTGAATTTCACATCAGTGTCACTAGTGGTAAAGAACCCGCCTGCCAATGCAAGAGACATGAGAGACGTGGATTCGATCCCTGGGTCAGGAAGATCCCCTGGAGGAGGGCATGGCTACCCACCCCAGTATTCTTGCCTGGAGAATCCCATGGACAAGGAGCCTGGCCAGCTAAAGTCCATGGGGTCACAAAGAGTCGGACACTGAAGACTGAAGTGACTTAGCATACATAGCACGCACATCATTTTCACACGGCCTGAGACAGGATTCTCCTTTTTATTTTTTCCAGCCATATAAAAATGTAAAAGCCATGCTTAGTCCCTGGGCCATACAAAAACATGGTGATCCAGATTTGGCCTACAGGCTCTTGTTTGCCAGCACTCAGTTTGAAATATCACCCACTCCGAACACCCAGTCATGCTTCCTATGGGTGTTTATTGAACATCTGCTCTGTACTCTGCCCTCACAGATACTGTGTCTCTCTGGGTTTTGGACTCTCTTGCCACAGAATCTTTGCATGCACTTTTCCCACTGCCTAGGAAACCTTTTCCTCTCATCTTCACCTGGTCATCATTTCTTCTAGGAACTTTCTCTGGTTCATCAGAAGAGTGCGATCCTGCTTGTTATAATTCTCACCATGGTGTGGGCATCTCTTTTGAAGCTCGCATTACCTTTTGTAATTATGCAACTATTCATGTGATTTTTCGATTAATCTCTCTCTCCCCTACTAGATGTAAGCCGCCCAAGGCCAGGGACAGATGTCACAGACGTCCGCCACATTTACCACAGGGTCTAGAACTTAATACCTGATGGATGACTAAATGAATGAATATCCCCAGGGTCAGGAATTCTGCCATCCGTTATTATGTGGTTAATAGCATCAGAGAACCAGTTAGATGGCAAACACGTTAAATGAGAAGAGTAAGCAGTAAAATGATGGATGCCAGGGTTTGCGTTTTTCTAAGAGCCAGTTAAGCATAGTAATAATGACAATAGTAATAATAATAGTAACAACAGCAACAATGTTTATCAGGTTCTCACTCTGCTCCTGGCACAATTCTGGGCCCCATACATGTATTACGTTACATACCTGTAACTGAACATACACGAATCTGAACAATCCTGGGTAGTAGGTCTGGTTGAAAACAATTGAATTGGAACCTGGGTCTCCCACATTGCAGGAAGTCTTTCCCAACTGAGCCACCAGGGAAGAAGCCCAGTGGGTCTTGTTAAACCCCCCAATTCAGACAAGGAAACAGACTCAGAAAGGTGACCACACAGCTGACAGGCGAGGGAGGCAGCCTCTGAATTCAGGCCTCCTGTTCCCAGAGCCCGTGCCCTGGGACAGGCCTTCTGGGGGTCCAAAAGTAAACCAAGCGTAGATTGGCACTGCCCCGAGAGAAATGAAAACGTGGGATGGCCACCATCTGTGGATCTGCAGGGGCCGGGTCTCCAAGGGTCTCTAATGCCAGGCCCAGGACACCTTCCGAATTCAGGCACTTGGGAGCCGCTGAACAGTGTCAGTAATGAGGGTCCTGAACCGACATGCTGCACTTCAGGACACTCACTGATGGCTGTATGGGGTGTGAGTAGGAGGGACCGAGGCTGCTCTGGCAGAAGCAAAGACTTCTGGGCTTCAAGGCTGAGCCCAAGTCTCTGCTCCCGGGAAGCGACCAGGTCTGGGTACAGAGCAGGGGCGTATCCTTTCTCCTAGCTCGTGGGGAGCCTCCTGTCTCCATCCCTGGGATTCACAGGTGTCCTGCCTGGGCTGGGGTAGGAATTCAGGGATGGAATACCAGGTCTCCTTGGTCCTATCCGGGGCTTCCCTGATAGCTCAATTGGTAAAGAATCCACCTGCAATCCAGGAGGCCCTGATTCGATTCTTGGGTCAGGAGGATTCTCTGGAGAAGGGATAGGCTACCCACTCCAGTATTCTTGGGCTTCCCTTGTGGCTCAGCTGGTAAAGATTCCACCTGTAATGCAGGAGTCCTGGGTTCGATCCCTGGGTTGGGAAGATCCCCTGGAGAAGGGAAAGGCTTCCCACTCCAGCATTCTGGCCTAGAGAATTCAGTCCATGGGGCTGTAAAGAGTTGAACATGACTGAGCAACTATCATTTCACTTCACTTCGGTCCTGTCCTGATTCCCCCGGGGGTCCACCGCCCCTGAGAGCCTGCCTTCTCCTGGGTCTGGTGTCTCTGGCACCAGCTGTCACCCACTGTTCTGCGGGTCATCTCTCTGCCACCGAGAGGCAGCATTGAGCAGCCCCACGCCGACACGTCTACACAGACCAGAGCTCAGATCCAGGCCACCCCTCCCCCCTGCCTCCTTCCAGTCTGTCTGCTCATCTGTAAAGGTCACTGGTAACATTGTGTGCTTTTAGCATCTGCCTGGCACTGATCTGAGCAGGTCAGGAGGCTGCTTCGTAACATTCTCTGCTGTGTTTAGGCCTGAGGGAGTGGCCTGGGGGCATCCTCTCTGTGGCACCCGGCTAGCTACTGTGCAGAGTGTGGCTGCCAAGCACCACCGCTCCTCACGGAGCCTGAGCTCTGCCCACGCTGAAGACTGAGCCAGGGCCTGCCAGACCAGTATCAGGGCCGAGAACCAGCTAGGAAGGAAGTGAAGGGCCCAAGCCCGAATCGGGCATTGGGTGCAGGGAGGGGGACCATGAGGGGCCTGAGCACTGGACTCAAGAGTCCTCCAGACTAGGGGTCCATCCCACGCTGCTGCGGCTTCCCAGCTCTGTGACCTTGGGTAACTCACCCTGGCCCAGCTTTTTGCTTTGTAAGACGGGGTGAGAGTGCCGCCTTGAAGGAGCAGTGAGCAGGCCATACCCTGGGTTCAGAGGGCTGCACACAGCAGGTGCTCAGTCAGTCATGGGAGAAAGGAAAGGAAGGCATCCAGTTACCGTAGTCCAGGCCCTTCTGGGTGACCCTGGCCACGATGCCGGGGTTGGTAGTCGTTGTCACAGCCGTGCCCAGGGTGGCCAGCACCACCAGGGTCGCCCACCTCCGCGCGCTGTCAGGGCCCCTGGCCATGTCCTCGTCCTGCAGAGCTGCCAAAACCTCGAGGTCTTGGAGGGGAACCAGGGACCTATAAAGGAGGCAGCTGTGGAAGTGCACGTCAGGAGAACAGAGAAAGGAGGAAGGAACATGAGCAGGGCCGGAAGAGGGGGTGGACGGCTGCCTGCCTGCGGTGCCCCACCGCATGGTTGGGGCCACAGCCCCAGAACAGCCAGAAGTGGAGCCTGGGAGCCCTGTGTGTGTGTGTGTGTGTGTGTGTGGTGTGGTATGTTGTATGTATGTGCGATGTGTGTATGCATGTGTGGTGTGTGTATGTATGTTTGGGGTGTGTGTGGTATGGTGTGTGTGTACGTATTGTGGTGTGTGTATGTATATGTATGCATGTGTGATGTGTGTATGGTGTGATGAATGTGTATGTATGTGTGGTGTGTGGTTGTGTTTGTTCTGTGTGTATGTATGTGATGTGGTATATTGTGTGTGTGATGTGCGTATGCATGTGTGGTGTGTTTGTGGTGTGTGTGTGTGTGTGGTGTGTTTGTGTGTGGTGTGTGTGTATGTATGTGTGGTGTGTGTGTGGTGTGGTGTANGTATGTGTGGTTTGTGGTTGTGTTTGTTCTGTGTGTATGTATGTGATGTGGTGTATTGTGTGTGTGATGTGCGTATGCATGTGTGGTGTGTTTGTGGTGTGTGTGTGTGTGTGGTGTGTTTGTGTGTGGTGTGTGTGTATGTATGTGTGGTGTGTGTGTGGTGTGGTGTATGTATATGTATGTGTGGTGCGTGATTGTGTGTGATATGGTGTGTGTATGTATGTGTGGTGTGTGTGTGTGGTGTGTGTAAGTTGAGACTTCTGGCTCTGAGTGTCATTCCCCTCCCCTTCCCCACTCCCTGAACCCTCCACCCAAATCCCTCCATCCAAGGACTTCTTGGAAGCTGCGTGATAGGTATATCAGAGTTGATTATATTTTTTGTCTTCTTTTTTTATGCTCTACTGAGGTATAATTGGCAAAATTGTACACAATTGCTCCTTGAACAACACAGGTTTGAACTGTGCAGGTGCATTTGTATATGGATTTCCTTCAATAAATGCACACTGCCGTTCTACACCACCTGTGGTTGGTTGAATCCATAGATGTGGAACCTCGGATATGATGGAACTGCGTATATGGAGGTCTGACTCTAAGTTATACTCAAATTTTCAACTGCTTGGGATGTGGGAGTCAGCACCCCTAGCCCTTGCATTGTTTAAGGGTCAAATGTACATTTAAAGTGTAAAATGAAAAAAAAAATAAAGTGTACAATGTGATAATTTGATATATATATATACATTGTGAAGTGATTGCCACAACCAAACTAATTAACTCATCTCTCTCTTTACATGGTTATCATTTGGGGTGTGTAGTGAGAATGAAGATTTACTCTCTTAGCAAATTCCAAAGTGTATAGTATTCTTAACTGTAGTTATTATGCTGTGCATTAGATCCCCAGAACTTACTCATTTTATAACTGAGAATTATATTTTTCTTTCTACTTTTGATTTCCTTGGTGTTTTCCACAGTAAAACCTTCAAGGAAACAGAGCCTGAAGCATTTTATTGTCCTGAGAGGTAATAATGATAATAATTAAATGCTTGAATTTTGAGTCTGGTATTTTAACTGATTTTAAAGCTTAGCTTTGCCACTCTGGTGGCTTGACCTTGGTCAAGCCCGTTAAACTCGCTGAACCTCAATTTCCTCTTTGTAAAGTGAGGATAACCAGAGTACACCCCCCACCTCAGGTTATTGTGAAGACATAAAGGGCTTTAAATCATGTAAAGCACTTAACACAATACCCCATGCATAAAATGCTCACAAATGGTAGCTATTACTGTCTGTCTGACTTTCAAAGCAATCCTTGTTCATGGGCCAAAATTTGAGAAAGAACCAAAAAAAATATATAAATAAAAATGATGTGCAATCACCAGTTCCAGAGAGGACAAGCAGAAGTGTATTTTAGAGTATTTCTCTCCTCGCTCCCCACTTTTGGTAAGCACAGATCAAGTGTGTCTTTCCACACTTATGTAATCAACGCCAGTTTTGTGAAGTTCCCTTTTTTCATAAACAGTATGTGCGGCTCTCTGTATTTCATTGCTTCCTACCCTACAGTTTTCTTCACCAGGCTTTTGTTCTTATACCTTTTCCCCTTTCCTTTGACAGATGTGAAACCTGAGGCTTCGAGAGGGAAGTGTTCTTTCCACAGTCACGCAGCCAGGCTGCTAGCAGAGCTAGGATTCAAATGCAGACGCATCCCACACCAACCTGAGTCCTTTAGCGTCTTGGGAGCTGGGGCGGGGTGGGGGGTGGCATCAACACACACACTCCCCACCCTCCCTCCAACTTTCCAGACGGAATTCTGTCTACTAGGCCCCTGCCCCTCCCTTTGCAGCAGCCTCGGGCCCAGTGTGGGGAACCCCACCGGGCAGCGGGCGCGGTCTCCATGGTGATGAGAGGAGGGGCGGGGCTTCAGAGAGGGAGGCCAGCTTCTCTCCTGCTGGGTCCTCATCAGCCCCCTGATGCCCTGTCTCCCGACTCTGATTTGATGAAAAGCTAATGAAGCCCATTGAGCCTGGAGGACATGAGACCTGATGTTTTTTTTTCTTTCTTCTCTTTCTACTGTTTCCGAAAGGATCTCCCTTCCTGCCGCCACCCACCACAACAAGAATCCTTCTGGCTTGCTGTAGAATGAAAACAGTGGCTCTGGACAGAGCATTTACTATGACACTTTACATATATTGTCTTCAAGCCTTTAAATAACCAGTGAAAAGTGAAGAAATTGTTAGTCGCTCAGTTGTGTCCCGTGGATAGTAGCCTGCCAGGCTCTTCTGTCCATGGGATTTCTCAGCCAAGAACACTGGAGTGGGTTGCCATTCCCTTCTCCAGGGGATCTTCCCAACCCAGGGATCAAACCTGAGTCTCCTGCATTGCAGGTGGATTCTTTACCATCTGAGCCACCAGGGAAGCCCCAAATAACCTGTGAGAGAGGAATAATTATCTCCATTTTGAAGATAAGGAAACTGAGTTACAAGGCAATTATATCCCTGTCAAGGTCACAGTGCCTTTCATGGAGAGACATATTCTCCTCTCTTCTTGGGGTAGTTTCTAAGAGAACTTGTCACCCTGGGTCTTCACCCTAGCTCTGCCTTCCTGGGCCCTCAGACTCCCATGTCTGTATCCATACAAGGAAGACATATGCCAAAACACATAGATTGATGACTTGTCAGAAAATTAGTTTTTTGAAAAGTTATCTTACACAATTTTGAATACCTGCAGCTCTAACTGCCCCCAAATTCCTGAGTCCCCTGGGTCCAGGCAGATATTGCCTCTGTGAGAATATCAGACAGGAAGTGGGTATTAGGAGGAAACTCACAGAATGATAACTTAAACTGCCACAATGTAAAAATCTTAAAACCAACTGGCTAGTTTCTGAATAAGCCAGCCCCACTGGCTTCTGATGCTTGTGCTCAGTCAAACCCGGATGAGTCCATCAGCAAACCTCTGATCTCCTTTTCGGTTCTGCCCCTGGCCACGGAGGGGCCCCACTGCTTCAGACCTGACTCTTTACTTGGTGTGAATGACAGTGTCTTCAACCCAAGCAACAGAAATCCCCAGCTCACATTGGCTTCAACAGTCAACCCATGTCTCAGAGATGAAGTCCAGAGAGAGAGCAGATTTGAGGATCTGATTAATTCAACAGCTAACAAGACTTCCCTGGTCATCCAGTGGTTAAGACTCTGCGCTTTCACTGCAGGGGCTGTGATTTGATCCCTGGTTGGGGCACGTTTATGATCCCACATGCTGTTTGGCTAGGAAAAAAATCCCCACCAAATTTGCAGCAAAAATGTAAATTAAAAAAAATCAATAATTAACAGGCATTTACCTTCTCTCCACACCTGTCTTCTCTGCCACCGTAGTATCTCAGATTTACCCTCACACTGGCTTCTTTCATGGTTGTGTGAAATAAAATTCATAATTTATGGCAAGACAAGAAAAATTTAAACATAAAAAATTTATTTCTGTCCTTTGGCTTCCTCTCTCCCTTCTACTGTGCATTGTGTATCTGCATTAAGCATCGACCGAATCTTCACTGTTGGCAGAAATAACCAGCTCAGCCCTAGAGAGAAACATTCTCCCAGCATCAAGAAGACAACTCCTTAAAGGTAACATTCCTTCTTGATCTTGTAAAGGAATCACATAGCCCATCACCTTGTACTTGCATATCTGGATTGTGTAAAATGTCAGTGATTCATAATCTAATGTACAGTCCTCTGTCTCAAAAAACTTATGTAACTGTGTTTTGACTTCTAATGGTAAAACAGCCCTCAGAGCTTTCTGAGATGCTGTTCCTGTTTTTGTTTGAGTTTGAAACAATACAAGTTTTATTCAGTGGCCAAAGAATGGAGAAGGGGGAACTAAGTCCACAGATTAATTTCTCATATTCCTGGGTTATAATCCTCAGTTTGGCTCAAATAAAAATTTTCATTTCTTTCGTAGATTGACTGATTAATTTTTCATTGACAGTTGCAAGATGACTGCAGCGGCTCCAGCCATTACATCTAAACAGGCTTTTTCCAGTCTCTCCTCCTCCTCCTCCTTTTTCTTCTTCCTTCTTTTTGGCCTTTTTGTTATTATTGTAAAATCTTTCAAATATAAAGATAAGAACAGACTACCCAAATTTGTAAAATCTTAACATTATGCCATATTTACTTCATATAATTTCTTTTAGCTCCATCAATTGTTAATACATGTACAGCTATGTTTAACCAGGATCACCATAAGAATATAGTTCTGTCATCCATTCAAACTCTCTCCTGTTGTCTCAACTCAACAACATAGGAAAATACACTACCTCAGCAGAAATTTAGAGGTGGGATGGGTCAAGAGTGGATGATTCATGGGCTGATTCTTTCTGCCTTTCTAATCCATGCTCCTTAGGATGTTGATTTTTTTCCAAAAGAAAGTGCATTTGGCTTGGAGCCCTGAGTTTATAGTTCCAGCCAAGTTATTTGCTCTGGTCAAGTTCTTTGACCCTTCTGAAATTTGGGTTCCTCAT